GTTGTAGATTCTACCCTTAGTGCAGATTCCAATCTATGTGATATTTGTTGAAGAGTACAGGACTTCTTGATTTTTGAGAGTAAGAGGAGCAGATGGGAGCTATAGGGATGCCTCAGCTTTTAAGATCACTGGCTGCTCTTGCAGAAGACACAGGTTCAGTTTTCAGTACCCAAATGGCAGCTCACAACTGTCAGTAACTCCAGTTCCTAGTGCATTTTTCTTTTAGGTTAGAAATTCACTTACAATTCTTTTTTTTTTTTTTGGTTTCAGTTTAATTGTAAGTATATTATTTTGTTATTTGGAAACATTTTCTCCAAAAATCAAAATTCCTTATTTCCTATAATAAATATTTAGTATTTGATAGGAAAGCTATCTTGCATTATATGTATTTCAGTTTGTCAAAGATGTTCCCTCTCTCTTTCTACTCTCAAATATCCATGTTGATTTATTTTAAACCACAGATGATAAGCAGACAATTTTCCATACTAATAAGTCAAGAGTCTCAGAAATGATTCATTAGCCTAGCTAAACATGGACAAAAATTATTTACATCTTAGAAAATACGAAAGAATTGCAATTATAGTGTTCGGTAACTTTTAGCTTGCTTTTTGCTTGCATGGTATGAACTTGAATTTTAGGGATTATGGGATTAATATTTTATTTGATATCTGAGTATAGTGAACTTAATTGCATCTTAATCTCCTTCCTTCTCTAGGAAGTAGTTCTTCAGACTGCCCCAATACTCTGCTGTTAATGTCTGTCTCCTCATTGATGTTTAAGGACAACTCCAATTAACTCTAGAAAAGTCAAAGTGGGAATAGCATTCTCTTTTTTGCCCCTGGAGAAATAATATACAAAAAATATAGTGGTTTTGCATTTAACAGTTTAATGAAGCTCAAAAGTGCTAAATGGAGTTCATTTCCACTGTTGAAGAAGCATGCATTTGGAACAAGAGGATGAGCTAACACAGAAGAGGATGATCTGAACCCTTATTGTTCTACCTATTCCTCTAGCAAAGTTATGAATGGGCACAGTATTATCAGATATGGGTTCCTGATACTGATGAGAATACTAGGTAGGAGGGAGATCATGGAACTTGTCAAAGTCATACAATTCCTAGTCACAAAGCTGGGATTTAATCAGCAGGTTACCTGTATAAGCCTTTCTTGGGCACAACATGGCCCACATTCATTATACTGCCCATGTATATTTGATCACTTTTCTATGCATAGATCAGACTGTCTTGTAGACAGGGAATATGAAAACATGTATGAGACAGTTTCTGATTTCAGGAACCCTAAGTTGGAAAGAGAAGAGCAGTATAACATTGTAAACAACACTAGGCTTCAGAATCTGAAATAAAAGTCATTCAGATGAGTTCTCTAGAAATTTTAATATACCCTGGTCTTAATAGCAGTGAGAATTTGGAAAGAGTTCATGTATCTTGATTTTTTAGACATTTGGCCCAAAGATCAAGATGCTTTTTATGCTCTGCAATAGTCATCTGAAATATGAATAGCTTAAAAATGCATCTCAAACTCACTCAGACAGATGGTCTGAAATAATTTGAATTATCTGTGGGCATAGTGAGCACTTGGTTAACCCTCAGCAGGTGAATGAGAATCCCTAGGACAAAACAAAGGGATTCAAAACTGCCACCATTGTGCCATAAACAGAAGAATTAGAGTGAGCAGATAATTCAGAAGATCCTGTCTCGATGCCTTTAAAAGTGGGACATGTAACGCCTTGGGCTGCAAACAATTAGTCCTGCATGTCACAGAAGCTTGGGAGTGACAACACCCTTTGACAGCTCTGAACGATGAGCCTGTGCCCAGGAGAACGGCATCCAGAAACTGGCTTGATTTGATACTTTTCTTTGTTTAAAGCAACCAACACCTCAGTGATCTAGTGTACTCCAGGGTTCTATTTATCTGTTCTTACTGTAATGCAATTGTTTCAGAAGAAATAATGGGCATGTTAAATAACATGACCAATAGCACTTCAGAACAAATAAGAATATGGGAAATTTTAAATTGCTAAAAACCCCATATATTTATCTCTGCCATCTCTTTTAAATTAAGAAGTGATTGGATTTTTCTTCCCCTTATCTTACATTCTGTATGACTGAACTATAGTTGACATCCTGACCCCCATTTTTGTCTAATTATAGTTTATTCTATAAATTTCATGTTTGTAGGAAGCATCAGTCACTTAACATTAATGCATTTCACATAATTCATTTAATTGATATATGACTTGAAGCCTGATAGAAGCCTTTATACCGTCTTAGCTATTCAATTCTAGAGAAGCGAGATTCCTCCCTTTCTCTTTTCCATCTAATCTGTATATAATCTCAATTATACCTCTCAAATATCTCATAAATGTGCATAGTTCATGAAGTCTAATTATTTCTATGGACCCAGGGGCACGTGTCTTCCTGCTGAGACTAAATACTCTGGCATTCTGACTCCTGCTTCAGCCATCTCTCTGATCTAGAATACACTCAGAATAAGAGATTTCTTTTAATTCTGATCTTTCTTTTCACAGTAAATAATTACATAATAAAAGATCCACAGCTCGCTGCAACACTTAGGGGCGTGGCCTGGCAATCACAACCGATATTAACGTGTGCAAGACACTCCCCTTGTCAGGTGTAAGAACTAGCTCTGCAAGCATGAGTCTTCTGATTTTAGGGAAGGACCTCCTGAATGTACACCAGGTCATGTTTGTGACCCCTACTAAGGGTCACTGCCATTACCTCCCCATGAGTATTACTTTAGCAATCCTTTCTTTTCTTCTCCTTCTTGATCTCTTCCTCTTTCCTTTTTGTCTATAAGTATCTTCATGTTTCTTACATAAGAAAAAAAACTGTATGTTTTTAAAGTCGACTACAAAAACCTTAAACTAAACTAAACTAATATATTTATTTTGTCCCATTTCTGGTTACCGTGAAGAGCTCCTTTAGTCTGCATGCTCAGTAGAGTACCACAGGGCTTTCCTCATTGCCTGCCCATCTCATACTCCACAAGTCTCAGCTACTGACCTGGCTGCCATCATGGAAGCCATCTTAGTTCAGTGTACAGGAAAAACAGTGCTTGGGAAGATGCACAGTACAGACTTGTGCGACAGCACAGTTTCCTGGCTTTCCTTCAATCTCTGGGATGCTCTTATCTGCTCTGTGGGTTCCTTTCCTGCTTCCCCTTTCAGAGTTGTTGAAACACAGAGTAAATGTTGGTTAAATGGCTTCCTTTCGATCTCTGGGATGCTCTTATCTTGCTCTGGGGGTTCCTTTCCTGCTTCCCCTTTCAGAGTTGTTGAAACACACAGTAAATCTTGGTTAAATGCTAAACATTCTCCTGGTGGCCTCACTGACCTGATTAGTTATTTCCATGCCCGATAAATAAGGGAATGCTTCAATCTCATCTCTTTGCAGGAGCAACTGCCTCAGCTGTGGTGAGAATACACAGAGCCTCTAATTGTGGTCTCTGCCGGGTTGGTTTTAGCTGAGTTGCCTTACCAAGCCAAGTCTTTTGTGTAGGACCCAGTTCAATGATGAGTAAGAAGTGTCAGAAGATCTGGTTGTTTGGGCCTAAGATGGAACTTGTGCAAGATGACTCTGGAAACCTTGATGTACTGAAGCACAGGGACATCTTCAAAGACTGGTCAAAATAGGATCGTTTGAGCAATAATCATAATAATAATGACAATGACTAAAGGACATAAAAAACATGAAATATCCATGAGTCCTTATTGAGGTTAAATCCACAAACCACATGGGTTATCTTTGCAGAACACTGGAAACCAACTCATTGATCTCAAAAATAGCAAATGAAAAATGTAACCTGCCTTCCACTACCAGCTACCTTAGTGTAACCAAATGGATGATGAATGAAGGTCTTTTCCCATAGAAGTATTTCATCTAGTCAATGAATATAAACTAACAATAGTAGCATTATATCATTGTTTTGAAAATCATTTATGGCATGGTGAATCTAGGCAAAGATGCAAACAAATATATAGAGCAAGCTCATTTGTAAATACTACTACAAAAACTCATAAAAATATTAGTAAACGGGCTGAGGAAGTGGTTCTGTCAGTATAGTGTTGGCAGCATAATTTTGAGAACCTAATATTGGTTTACCAGAATCAACAATTGCTGGGTGAAGCATGTCTATAATCCAAGTGCTGAGGAACCGAAACAAGAGCATGCTTGGGTCCTGCTGCTCTGCCAGCCTAGCTGAATTTGTGAGTTCAGGTTCAGTGAGAGAACTTGTCTCAAGAAATAAAGTGGAGAGCAATTGAGGATGGCCTCCAACATTGATATCTGGCCTCCATACACAGCACATACATGTTTATACACACATACATATTAACAAAAAATTCATTAGTCATTTAAGATAAATAAGGTTATTTATATCACAAATTAAAAAATAGTTTAATAATAATACACAAGATAATATTACTCATCATGTAATAAATTGAAGGACAAAAATCATGAGATCATCTCTAATGACCCTGAAAATGTATTAGACAAAACTGAATATCTATTTTCAAAATAAGACATAATACCAAAGGAATTGGGAGAAAATTCATTAACATAATAAAATAAATACAACTTGGACCCAAAGATAATGTCTGTGTTAATGAAGGAAATTTTGTACAATTGGAAACAGAACAAAGGAATCCACCATCATAATGGTATTAAGCCCCGAACTAGGATATTAGACAGAATAATTATAAAAAAGAATGTGATTAAAGATATATACAAAATGCATAAATAAGACATTTGTGGATTATATGATTATGTACTCAGAAAACTCAAGAAAATCAACTGAAATTAACATTGTATATAGTAACATGGTTTTGAAAAGGTGGTTGTGTTAAATTAATATCTATAAGGAGAAAATCTTTTATGCATACAAACATACAGTCAGAAGATACAGTTGAAGAAAATGGTGACCAAATGGGAAGAAAAAGTCAAAATAATTTTTAATACCTACTTTTGAGTTGTTGATCAAGGGAGTCCCAGAGAAACCTGAAACAATACAGGCTATTGCAGTTGACCTTGGTTGCCTCCCATAATTTAGAGGTAAGTCTCTGTTGCTGAGGACACCACATATTTTGGACACAGAACTTGGAAACTGGAGCTGCATCTCATTGGGAGGACTTCTCCCCGATGATTAGCTCTCATAGGATTAGGAGAGCTGCCTAGGGAAAAAAAGCATTCAACGTGATGTGATGATGCCTATGTAGCACAACTGGAACGGCAAAATGTCTGCAAAGGTGCACTAGGGGTACAAAGACACACTTCTATTTTGGGATTAACCAACAGCTGTCTAATTCAGCTTAAGGCCTGCTCCACAGGAGGGAATTCATGACTAGTGCTGTAAACTTAGCTAACTACTCATGGCTAGTGAGAACATGGAACCTGGGGGACAACCTACTACTTACTTTCCTAAGCTAGTACACTCTCATAATTACTTATAGATGCAGGTAACTGAATCTCGCATCCCTTATCAAAGAAGGAGATTCCAAAGAAATCCGTGCATCTCTGTGTTCACTGCTGCCCTGCTATGGGCAAGATACAGAAAGAAACTGAGTATCCATTAACACAAGGATGAATTCAGAAACTGTGGTACAGACTGTATACATATCAGAGTAGTACTCATACAGAAAAGTGAAGATAATTCCACCATGTTTGCCAACATGGAATGAGCTGGAGGAAATACTAAATGAAGGACAAAGGTTTGATTTCACTTAGTAGATGAACCTAAAAGAGTCAGATTCGGAAAACATGGTAGAATAATAATCTCTTGGGACTGCAGCTGACAAATTGGGAGAATTTGAAAGAGTACAAAATTTAGGCCATGCTGTGAATAAATTTTGGATTTGTAATTCTTAGCATGATGACTATAGTTATCTATGTATCTATAGGATTCTGTGAGCATATTTCAAGTGTCCTGACCACATGTGTACAGGTGCTCAAATGTACATAGTGATGAATTTATTATTTTGACTTTGGTCATCAGTATATAATATATACATATGCCAAATCATCACATTGTCATCTATATCTATCTATCTATCTATCTATCTATCTATCTATCTATCTATCTATCTACCTATCTATCTAATATTTCTTTTTACATGTTTGGGTTTTGCCTACATATATGTATGTATACCGTAGTCATGTGGAGGTCAGAAGAGGGTGTCAGATTCCCCGAAACTGGAGTTATGGATGGTATAAGAAATCATATTGGTGCTGGGAATCAAACCTGGTGCTGTGGAGAGCAGCCAGTTTTCTTAACTGCTGAGCCATTTTTGTCAACCAATTATGTAAGTTTTTGAAAAGGCAAAAGCATTAAAACAATGACCCATAAAATTTCTCAAAAGAAACTCATGAAAATACCTTTATAAAGTTAAAGTGTGGAAAGCCTTCCAAATGTTGCACATAGTGACAAGGTGAGCATCTACCAGTCACATTGCATATACTCTATGACAGACATTGATTTAGAACTCTACAGAAAAGTATGTGAATAACTTGTTGAATATTTAAATAGCTATATGGAGTAGGTATTACTATTGTTTCCCTGTGGATATCAGTATGATATAAGGAAATGCATTATTTTGTATGCTTTGAGGAAGGTAGATACAATGGAATTTAGAGATTCAAAAAGGAACAACCATCTGATTGGGATCAGTAAAAATGATTTATTAGTAGAAGCAGAATTTGACAGAAGGAAGTCTAACAGTAATGGGCCAAACACTGTGCAAGTTCTAGTTCAATGACATGAATCATGTGTCAGCCCTTCAAGAAACTGAGTTCTAATTGGGCTCATTAACTTAGACCGAATATTGCTTGTTTTAGTGTGATCAAATATCAGTTTTATGGAAACTTAGGCTGAGATATTTGAGTAGATGAGTTTACTAGTGCGAGCCTTAAACACCAGGGGGGAAATGTACAGAAAACCATGAGGCACTTCAATATTCTGCCATAGACCACAACTAGGGTCAAGTGTTCACATGCAGTCAATGCCCCGGAAGTGCTGCAAAGAATCATCGCTGGGTATAGGGGGTTCTCATGTAGCATCATGCAGTGAGGGCAGAGATGGTTTTATTACGTGCATCCAACTATATTAACTATGCATGTGGCCCAGATGCTTGTTCTGTTTTATGGCCCACATATCTCTTTGATTCCAAAATCTCACACTGGCTTTCTCTAAGAAGAATGAGTATTTGGGCCACTGAGGCTTTCTTTTCTTTTCTTTTTTTTTTTTTTTTATCTTGCATTCTCAACTCCTTTACAACTAGAAAAACTTTCAAATAAGGATGGTGTGAATGTTGTTTTCAACTGTGTCTCAAGTGCACCTTTTACAATCAGAGAATTGTTTTGGAAGGAGAGAGGGAGGGAAAGATGGGTGGGGTATGGAGGGAGAGAAAAGAGATGAAAACTGCAGATAAAAATAAAACCAAGAGCTTTCCTCCTATCAGGTGGTGTAATTTAATAACAGCACCACTAAAGGGGGCATCAAGGCTTGTGGTACAGATGTTGCTTAGTCATCTGAACTTGTGGTACTCAGTGCAAAGCCTTGTGAATCCACTGAAGGGACCTAACTCATTTTTCAAATGGTGCCTGCCAATCAAGAAGAGCAAAACAACTCCACAGCAGTCACAAATATGCAACACTCAGAAATATAAGAAGATGGTGTGATTTGGGGCCCTTGAAGTATCAAACAAGAATATTGTGAGAATACAGAGCTTCTGTTAATGAATTTGATGCAAGACTTAGAAAACCACTCAACATAAAGCACAGACTTAGCTGTTGCCACAAAATTAACATTCAGGTTGAGGTGAAGAAGCATGAAGGTGTTTACCTGGGAATCGCCGTAATGTAGACAAGTAAAGTGTATAAAACAAGCATTCATATTGTCCTTGGAGTAATGGCTATTTAAAGATGGTAACAGTGAAGGTCAGAATTTTTATTAAGTATCTAAACTGAAACCACATACTCCGTTTACATTTATGGCAAAATGATTGTCCTACAAGACTTTAAAGACTTTCTGAACACAGAGTCACTTATTATATATTTTATATTTTTTCACTTGTCTCTTTCCTGATCTCTGAATCTCAGCAAATAAAAACAGAAATAAAAGAAGATGTCTGAATGTAATGAGAAGGGAAGAAGTTTAAGAAAATGTAGGTGACTCATTTGGGTAGCTCACGAAGGTGGGCTGTACTGTCATAGGGACCAAAACTTCCAATGATTAATGTTATCTTTTAATTTAGCTCTCATACCTATTTTTTTCTTTTAGCCTAAAGCATTGTTTGTTTGTAAAAGTATGGTCTATTGCATTGCTTTTAAAATGGTATTCGGATTTAGAGTCGGGGTATGTAGCTCAGTGGTAGAATGCTGGCCTCACATGTATGAGGCCTGGTGATAAATATTCAACACTGCAACACAAACAAATAAAATTTAATGCTTATTCAAAACATCCTGTGGAATCACACTAACTTGAAAGCTCAGGCTCAATAGATCTGATCAGGGGCTGCAGAACAAGTTTGCAGGTGATGCTGTGGCTACTGCTGCTGTTGGAACGACGTTTGGGTGCTAGGCTCCTGGAGTGAGAATATACTTCCTTGAGATGCTTCAGGAACGCAGAGTATGATGGCTTATATGTGAAGAACCCTGCAAGCTATAACCATGGAGTAACAAATATGATTAGAAGTCTCAGGAAAACTCAAGATTGTGTACAAAAGACATTTCCTTCCTCTGGTGGAGCATTTGCCTTCTTATATGGTAAATCCCATAGACGTGTGTCTTCTACTTTTTACAACACAGTAAGATCTAGAGGTGAGGATTAGTGCTGTGGTCTATGCTTGTGGAAACAGGGCCTCAAATATAAGTACACCTTAATTATCCCATTATACCAAAATCTATTTCTGTTAAAAATAATTTTGTTGCCCTCCCCACGCTAAATCTTACTACATTTCTGAGCTATAAAATAATGGCTCACCTGTACCCAGTAAGAAGGATGTCATTTTCCTCTAACATAAAGCCAATCTAAGGTTTGGCAAACCATAATTCTTATGGCCAGGTTTTGCATATAATTAAGTATGTTTTTGTTTTTATTGTTGTTATTTCCAAATGATTAAAGAGAATCTAAGAAAATAATATTTCATGACATTAAAGTTATGTGGAATTCAAACTTCTGTGTTTAGAAATAAAGTTTTATTGAAACACATCACTATTCACTCATTTTTGTGCTATATATGGGTACTTACACTATTCAAAAGAAAGGGAAGTATCCATAGCAGAGACTTTACATGGCCCAGGAAGAAAAAATATTTACTATTCAGCCACTGGAAGAATCTGCCAATCTCTTCCATAATCGAATATCAAAAAGTAGTGTGTGGTGTAATGTGCAGATTTTCTTTCCCACAGCCTATTTATTGACCAAGAATTAAATTAAGACTTATATTTCATTTAGTGATATTAACTAAATCTCTCTTTAAGAAGAGACTTAAGTGAAAAATTTGTATATAATTAATTTTTCAAGTCCAGTAGGATCTTAGAAACTGAGAGTCCTAGTTTATCGGTGTATTGTGCCATGATCATGAAAAGCCTGGAGTAGGTAAAATGGAATACCTTTAGATCTAGAGCATTATGAATCTAGTAATTATGTGAAGAACTGAGTAGAAAAGAGTAAAAGTATGGAGGAGGAAGAAGAAAGAGAAGAGGAGAGGGAGGAAAGGGAGGGTAGAAGGGGAGATGGAAAGAGAAGAGGGGGAAGAGAAGAGGAGGAAGAGGAGAAGGTGGGAGGGGAAGAGGGGAGGAGGGAGGGGATGATGAGTATCGGGAGGAAAGTAGAAGGAATCGGACAAGAGTGGGAATAAGTGGCTTAGTGTGAGAACCTTCAAGGGAGGAGACTTAAGATCTTCTAAGAGTTAGCAAATGCCATAAATAAACGACACGAATAAATGATGTTTTACCGGAGAAATCTAGAAACGGCAGTTTCACATTTAGGATGAATCATAGCTTGAATCTAAAGAAAAGAGCAGAAAAATGCTCTTTTGTGATTGCAAAGCAGCATCGCTTTCTAAGGTCTAAGGTTTTCCTTTCTAGATCTCCAGAGGGAGGGGGGAACAGCTGATGCATGCTGTAGAACCAACAAATATCTGTTGAATGGTGGTAAGCTTGCCCAAGTTAG